GTCCCTGCCACCCAACAGGGAGACCCAGATGGAGTTCCTACCTCCTGGCTTTGGCCTGGCCAAGCACCAGGTGTTGCAACCATCTGGGAAGTGAACCAGCAGATGGAAGATCTATCTGCCTGTCTCTCCTTTTGCCTTTCAAATAAATAAAGCAATCTCAGGGTAAAAAAAAAAAAATCCCTTTAAAAATTTAGAAAAGGCAAGACAGCAAAGCAAACTTACAGAAATAACTCTGTAGAATTTAGCAAAATACATACCATTCAAACATTCAGGAGAGAGGAAGCCCATGCAAACAGATAAAGTAAAATCATTTTCATTTTCAGGTCCTGCTTTCAAAATAAGCACCATGGTATGCACCATGGTACATGTGTGTGTTGTGTGTGTGTGTGTTTTGTGTTTTAGGGGGAGGGGCAGTACCCTAACGTGAGTTCTTTGAAAAATAAAAGCGGAATTGGGGGTGAATGGATTACTTAGTACTACAAATTTAATTTGCTAAGCAAAGCTAAAAAAACAGTTACGAGGACTGCTGGTGTGTCACAGTGGGTTAAATCACTGCCTGTGACACCAGCGTCCTAATTGGGCACCTGTTCGAGGCCCAGCTGCTCCACTTCTGATCTAGCTCCCTGCAATGTGCCTGGGAAAGCAGCAGAAGATGGCCCAAGTGCTTAGGTCCCTGTCACCCATGTGTGAACCTGGGATAAAGCTCCTGGCTTTGGCCTGGTCCAACCCTGACAGTTGCAGCCATTTGGGGAATGAGCCAGCAGATGGAAGGCTGACAGAGCTCTCTCTCTCTCTCTCTCTCTCTCTCTCTGTAACTCTGCCTTTCAAATAAATAGGTAAACTTTTTTTTAAAGTTACCATGAACTAAAATATACAATGCAGATATCATTAAATACAATTCACCACTGAATAAATGTCAGACAGAGAGATCAAACAGTCAGAAACACTCCCTACATCTGCATACAACTGATTTCTTTACAACAAAACCTACTTTTCTGCAACACCCTCAAAGGCCCGGGTCCTTCTGGTGGGTGACCAGCAAAAACTGCAGTACATCTGTGCAGCACGTTTTCAAAAGTCACCACACAACCACAATCCATGCACCCTGGGAACACAGAACAATCAGGGAGGGGAGAAGAAGGAAGGAAAAGAAACCTGCCTTCCCACCCGAGCCAAGCACAGGCTCCAAAAGATAAACAGCCAAAGAAAATAATCCTTCAAGAAGGGGGTTGAGAAACAAGGGAGGGGCTCTGGCAGGACGGAGGGCGGCACGGCACCTCCAAGCACAAGGCTGTCAGACGAAACACAACGCAACTGGGTCTCCCAGAAAGCAGTGCTCCGGCGCTCACCTGGGCCATGCCGTCAAGGCTCTTCCCACTGCCCGCACCTCCCCTGCCAGTAGACAATTCACATCAAACAAATCACAGCTGTTCCCAAGGAGGCCCTCCTGGATCCCAAGTGGTCTGCAGGGCTGGGGACACATGACTCTCCTCTCTGGCCTTTTCACCTCTGCAGGACTTTGCCCCCTGAGCTCATCAGACAAAAAAACAATTGAAAGCAGGGCTCCACCGAAACAAACGCCAACCCCTGTGAGGCCTCAGTCCCCACGCAGGGAGTCGTGTGTGCACGTCCCTGCCGACTCCACAAGCTCACTTAAGTGCAGCCTGTGAGCGAACAAGTGCTAATTATGCTCAAAAACAGTGAACGGTTCTATAACGTGTGGAACTCAGAATACTCTTAAGCTTTAAGACCAATCACAATATACAATTTATCCTTACTCTCTTCCAATATAAACTATGCTTTTAAATTAAAAGGAGAGAATTCTACCAAATTACATACTAATGGCCCTTAACTTGTAATTAAAGAATCACTAGCAGCAGCGTAAGCCACAGCCGAGTGCACATTTATTAGACCCTAAGTTCTGAGCACTGAGGAACTGGGTGAACCTGAGTGTAGCTGTCAGCCATCTTGAGAAAAGCTAATGGCCAGCCCTGCTCCCAGGAGCTTACTCTGGGCACTGGCATGCCCACAGGGCCACCAGCTCCTTACCTGCACAGTCAGAAAATAGGAAACCAAACCCAAGTGCCAAGGCAGAAAGAGAGGCAAACTCCAACGAGGCCGCTCACCTGGAGGCACCATTACCTACTCCTTCCTGGGCAGCACCACGGCCTCCACTTGGACCAGCGGGTGGCTTCCAGGCAATGAGGAACCAAACGAAGATTCAACTTGTGCTGTAACCCAGCACATAATCCCATGCGGGGGTTGTGCAGGCACACAGAGCAGACCACGTCCCTAACATTAAGAAGCGAATAAGTAATGAAGGAGACAAGACACGCGCTAATTTATAGAAGAGAACCAGCACCGTCACAACCGCTCGGCCCCAAGTGCAGCTTAGCTCCTCAACACTTTCTGAACACACTTCTCCAGCCCTCAGTCGCCTTGGCGAAAACAAGGCAAAGGTATGAGATGATGTCGGAGGCCCTGGATAGCTCTGCAGCAGGCTGATAATTACAGAACACAAGACATCATGTCATTAAATGCTAAATTATACAGTAATGACTGCAACCACCGCTGGAGAAACTGTGCTTTTGTGTGTGTGTGAGTGTATGTGTGTGTGTGAGTCAGCCTTCATTTTAAGCCACTTCCTTAGAGCCCATCAGGCACTGCGCTGCGACCAGGGGAGGCAGCGGTCACTAAGAACCCTGCCTGCAGGAGGCTTCCACCCATCCAGTGGGGCTCGGAGTTCAGAGGGGAAAATAAGGGCTGGGAGTGGGCCTGTGACTTTCCTGTGGAGACAGAGAGAGCACTGGGCCATCAGAGCACACGAGTGCAACCGTCCATGAGGGCAGGAGGCGAGGACAAGTGGTTACCCTGGAGCGCAGTGGTGATGACGGGGGAAGGAGGCGAGGACGAGTGGTTACGCTGGAGCCTCAGAACAGCCGTATCAGCAAGCTCAGTTAAGCCCATGGCTGGTCCTGAGCAAAGGTAGCTAGTTTCCAGAAGTTGGCCACACTGAGATTCTTCCTACCCTTCACCTACTTTCCCCACCTACACCCATCAGGCCCCAGCCCAAATCTACTACTTTAGGGTACACTGTGCCCTTGTCTTTTCAGTTCAGCTTGCAGGGAGCAGTCACCAAGCAGGTGGTCCACAGCCCTACCTTCCACTCGGGGTTCTCAAGCTGCAGGGGAGTCAAGAAAGATGGCGCAGACGAGTGGCTTCTACTGCAGGACCAACCTGTGTCAGGTGCGACTAACCAGCCGACACAGTAAGAAAAGTCAACCCTCCACTTCTTAATTTTCAGAAGTGCATATGCCCCCTATGTGTCCTGACAACGCTGGAACCTGGGCCCTAATGGATACCAAGCGTCGCCCACCAACGGTAGCTTCCACTTCCAATTCACTTGCCTGGACGCCAGGGAGCTGAACTGTGGAAAACGCATCCGCTCAAGTAATAGATCTTCAAGAAGAACAGCAACTGCTCCCACCTCTCCTGCCCCCAAATCCTATTTATGCCCGTCCTCAAAACCTCCTTCCGAGTCCAGACCAGATGTGTGCAATGTTTACACTGAGGAGACCACCAGGACGTAAACAACTCACTATAAACACACTCGGAATTCTGCTGCGCTTTTCTTCATTTCCTGTGTACTTATTTTGGTGTTAAAATAATGTTAACTTTCTTAATAAGGAAAATAGAAGCAGATGTTTAAGCCGAACAGACTATAGGCTATTATCCACCAAATCGGCTCAACTTTCAAAAATCAGAGTCTGTTCCTCCCGAGTCAGGAGGGAAAGGAGATGGGACTACTCTCCCGAACGTCCCGTTGAACGTCACTGACTACACTGCGATAAGCCATCGACGGCAGGCTTGCCTCTACCAACGGCAGACATAAAAAATTAATCTGGTATCGATTTCCTAACCATCCTTCTTCCAGTCCTCTCTTGGGCTCATCATTAGGCTTTGTTTTTAAAATATCGTATTACGTGTTAACAAAGACAATGCAACAGAAACCACCTTAGAAGTCTTGGTTTCTTGTTCAGTGGGTACATGATCTTTAAAAACTGACGGCAGCGTGTTAACTGCACAGGAAAGCAGCCCAGCCGTGGAGAAAAATCGGACTTTTAATGAGCGAGTTCAGAAACAAGATGACCCTGGGCCCAGCAGATTCAAAGAAAGCAATTCGCCAAAGTTCCCCGAACTGGAACGAGGCGGAGTGGAAAAGAGAGGTCCTTAAAAATAAAGGAACACATAGAACTTTAGATGTGAGACCCCTACCCACAGATTTGGATGAAACAGCAACTTCGGTGCGATCTTCCCTCTGAGGAGGAGAGCTAAGTTTTCAACCCACAGGAAGCAGGCCTGACATTTCCACCAGAAAAACACAGCGACCCGACACCCCTCCCCCCAGCCAGGGTCAGCGTTTTCCTCCTCCAGCAGAAACGGGGAGTTCGCGGGCCGAGCGCTCGGCCGGCCCGCCGCGGCCCCGCGGGCCATGGCCCCTTCTCCCGGGCGCACGTCAGCTCCGGGCCGCCGAGCAGAGCAGCCGAGCAGGCCGGGGAGCCGCCCCGCCGCCCCGCCGCCTCCCGGGGCTGCACAGGAAGCGGGAGGCCAGACAAAGGGCCGGCCTGTGCCCTCGCGGGCGCCCGCGTCGTGCGGGGCGCGGGGCCGGCGCGCGGCCCTCCTCCGGCTGCCCGAAGCCGCGTTCCAACTTCTCCTCGCGCCCCACGAAGAAAATGCCAAGGAAACCAAAAAACACACACACACACACACACACACACACACACACACACACGGGGGGGGGGGTGCTTCGGGAGTTAAACATTTCAGGACGCCGCAAGCCGAGAGAAAGCAAAGTTAAGAAAAAGAAGGCACCAGAGCGCGTCCGCGTCTCCCCGGCCGCCGCGGCCCCAGGCCGGGACCCGGACCGACCCGGCGCGCACGCACCCCGCACCCCGCCGCCTCTGCGGCCACTCCCCGGCCGCCGGGCCGCCGACACCCACCTTCGTAGCACAGAATGCCGATGCTGTTGTTCATCTTGTCCAGGTACTGGTAGTTCAACAGGTCCATCTTCATCAATAGCATTTATCGGGCTCGCAAAGAAAACCAGCTCTCCGCGCTCGCCCCCGACAGGGAAAAGTTTCCAAACAATCACTTGTTGCTGACGGAGGAGCTCCTGGCTCTTTTTGCTTAAACCGCACAGGGACGGAGGCCCGGCCTCGGAAGCGCACAACAAAACAAAACAAAACAAAACCAAAAAAGCCAAAAACCAAAACGGAGAGGGGGGACACGCGCCCGAAAACCCCCGCCCTCACACGACACCCTCGCAGCGCGGGCGGCCGACCCTCACTCGGGCATGCGGAGAGCGTCTCGGCGCTCTCTACGGGGCCGCGCGGCGCGCGGAGGCAGGGGCAGAGGCCTGAAAACGGCGACCCCGCAGCGCATCGCCCAGGACAAAGCCCCGCTGCCCTCGCTCACAGCCCGCTGCGAGCCGACTGCGCGGACATCCTGGCCACGCTCGCGGGGACGCGTCCGCGCCGCGGCCTCCTCCCGCCGGCGCGCGCGTGCGCACTGGCGCCCGGCGGGCCGCGAGCGCGAGCGCACGGCGTCAGGCCCGGCGCGGGGCCGAGCGCGGGGCCGAGCGCGGGGCCGAGCGCGGGGCCGAGCGCGGGGCCCGCGAGGGGGGCCCGGGCAGAGCGGCCTGACAGGAAGCGGCCGGGCCCCTGCAGGACCGTGGGAGGAGAAAGTTAAGCCCCGGAAGTTTCTTTCTTTTTTTCCAGGAGCTGAGTGTAAAGTAAAAAAAAAAAAAAAAAAAAAAAAAAAAAAGGATAGAGGAAAGAAAGGAAAAAGACATCCATCATGGAAGCGCACTGAAACTTTCGGCCAACTTCACTTAGGGGTTTTGCAAGCCCGAAGGGCTTGGCTTTGGTGTAGAGCTACACAAGGCGTCTTTGTTTCTTTTTTAAGAACGTCTCCTGCGGCCTGCGTGCACTGCAGCTGTCCGCGGCGTGGACGCCCGTCTGTAATCGGCTGACGGGGCAGTGCGACGCGGGCTCACGGGCGAGCCCACCGTCCTCTGGCGGGCGGGCGGGCGGCAGGGCTTCTAGGAGCCCACTCCCCGTCACCGCCAGCGCCCACCCCCCAAACTGGCGGACTCAAAGCTTCTGGAACCTTCTCCCAGCGGGTGGGCGGCTGGCGCCCTCTCCCAGTTATAACTCGCTGTCCCCCAGCGGGTGGGCGGCTGGCGCCCTCTCCCCCAGCGGGTGGGCGGCTGGCGCCCTCTCCCAGTTAGAACCCAGCGGGTGGGCGGCTGGCGTCCTCTCCCAGTTAGAACCCGCCACCCCCCAGCAGGTGGGCAGCTGAGGCCCTCTCCCAATTAGAACCCGCCATCCCCCAGCGGGTGGGCGGCTGGCGCCCTCTCCCAGTTAGAACCCGCCATCCCCCAGCGGGTGGGCGGCTGGCGCCCTCTCCCAGTTAGAACCCGCCATCCCCCAGCAGGTGGGCAGCTGAGGCCCTCTCCCAGTTAGAACCCGCCATCCCCCAGCGGGTGGGCGGCTGGCGCCCTCTCCCAGTTAGAACCCAGCGGGTGGGCGGCTGGCGCCCTCTCCCAGTAGAACCCAGCGGGTGGGCGGCTGGCGCCCTCTCCCCGTTAGAACCCAGCGGGTGGGCGGCTGGCGCCCTCTCCCCGTTAGAACCCAGCGGGTGGGCGGCTGGCGCCCTCTCCCAGTTAGAACCCAGCGGGTGGGCGGCTGGCGCCCTCTCCCAGTAGAACCCGCCATCCCCCAGCGGGTGGGCGGCTGGCGCCCTCTCCCCGTGAGAACCCGGGAGCTCTGCAGGAGGCACAGCAGCCCTTGGCTTTTCCGCACGTGGGAACCTTGAGGGACAGTTTTATCTGCGCGCATGGTTCCGGCGGTGGCACCACCAGCAGCCCAGGCCTGGAGCTGGCGCTGTAGCGCGCGTGCGGAGTGCGTGCGGGGTTAGGCCGCAGGCTGCAGAGCCGGCATCCCTTAGAACTCCTGGTCCAGTCCCGACTGCTCCACTTCCCGTCCAGCTCCCTGCTAACGCCACCTGGAGAGGCATCAGAAGGTGCCAGTGCTTGGGCCCTCGCCACCCAGGTTAGAGACCTGAAGAAGCGCCTGGTGCCACGTCTGCCTGGCCCAGCTCTGGCCATTGGGGCTATTCGGAAAGTGAGGCAACGGGTGAAGCCTTGTCGCTCCCTGTTTCAAACAAACAAATCAATCTTTTAAAAAAGGGGGTGGGGTAGCCTAGGGCTTCTTTTCAGGATTCTTCAAGCATGGAGGAGTGGGCCGTATTTAAATGGATAACCTCACAGGATGGCTTGTGTGCTAAAAATCTAGCAAGAGGGCCGGCTTCGTGGCACAGTGGTTAAAGCCAGGGCATGCCACATGTGCGTGCTGGTTCAAGTGCCCAGGGTGGCAACCGCTCCACTGCGCATCCACTTCCCCTAATGTGCCTGGGAGACAGCAGAGGATGGCCCAAGTGCTTGGTCCCTGCCAGGAAACCAGGATGGAGTTCCTGGCTCCTGGCTTCCATGTGGCCCAGCTCCAGCTGTTGTGGCCATTTGAGAATTTTTTTTTTTTAAGATATATTTATTTATTTGAAAGAGTTACACAGAGAGAGAAGGAGAGGCAGAGAGAAAGAGAGGTATTCCATCCACTGGCTCACTCCCCAATTAGCTGCAACGGCTGGAGCTGCACTGATCCGAAGCCAGGAGCTTCCTTTGGGTCTTCCCACGCGGGTGCAGGGGCCCAAGGACTTGGGCCATCTTCTACTGCTTTCCCAGGCCATAGCAGAGAGCTGGATCAGAAGTGGAGCAGTCAGGACTCGAACTGGCACCCATATGGGATGCTGGCACTGCAGGCAGAGGCTTTACCCATATGCCACAGCGCCGGCCCCCATATGAGAAGTTAAGCAGTTGATAGAATATCTCTGTCTCCTCACCCTATCACTCTGCCTTTCAAATAAAATAAAACCTTAAAAAAAGAAAATACAACAAGAGTTGCATTTGGGGTAACAGGCACATTTGGGACAAGTTGTTCTAACCAAACATTACTTGCAAATTCCCATGACACCCAAATATTGCTGTCGTCACTACTGCAGTAGTAATTGGGTTACAGCAGCCCAAGTAAGCAACAGAAGAACAAATATTTCAAAAGCTTCCCTTTAAAAGGATCTTCACTGATGCCACATTGCATCTGGTAGATCTGAAGAAGCTGCACTGAAAGATACCAACAATAGTAATTAAAATACCTAGCTGTGGCCAGGGAGTGCAGTGGAGGATGGCCCAAGTGCTTGGGCCCTGCACCCCATGGGAGACCAGGAAAAGCACCTGGCTCCTGCCATCGGATCAGCGCGGTGCGCTGGCCGCGGCGGCCATTGGAGGGTGAACCAACGGCAAAGGAAGACCTTTCTCTCTGTCTCTCTCTCTCACTATCCACTCTGCCTGTCAAAAAATAAATAAATAAATAAATAAAATACCTAATGGTAGGAACGCCCCTTGTGGTGCAGCAGGTTAAGCCACAGCCTGCGGCGCTGGCATCCCCTATGAAAGCACTGCTTCGACTCTTGGTTGCTCCACTTCCAACCCCGCTTCCTGCTAATGCACCTGGAAAGGCAGAAGTTGGCCCAAGTACATGGGCCCCTGCCACCAGAGTAGGAGACCAGGATGGAGTTCCTGGCTCCTGCCTTCAGCCTGGTCCAGCCCTGGCTGTTGTGGCCATTTGGGAAGCAAACTAGTGGATGGAAGATTCTCTCTCTGGTACTCTGACTCTCAAATAATTTAAAAACCAAAAATCTTAACATGTCTAATAATGATATTTGGCAGGGGAGGTTGGAAGAAAATTCTTACAAGGTCTAGTACATACAAATTGCTCTGAAAACAAGTTTAATAGCTTTAGGCGTCAGATTCAAATTCATCCAGTAGTTTTGGACAAGTACTAGCTGTGCTGGGTTCTTTCACCTAAATTCTCCATCAGAAAACTTGGCACACCATCAGCATATCATAGAATGGGGGGAGAGCTGACTGCACCTGAGGCTGTGTCCCAGAGTGATGTGAGGGTGGCAGCCCACGGCTGTGGCTTTTACAGGGCCCCAGGAGACCCTGTAAGGTGATACCCCTTGCCTCCATACTGCATTTGATACGCTTGCTTTCAGGAGTGTTTAAAAATACATAGCGGATCTGAGCACAGTGATTGCTAACTTCCCTTTAATGACTCGGCATCACTGCCAGCAGTGGTCTCCAGAGGGCCTGGGCACTTTCCGGTACATCGACCCGCCCGCTACCTTGCCTGCGTTTCCGTGAGGCGCTGGCGGGTACAGCCAAGTCCCATGCTGAAGTACCTGCGTCTGATGACTAGCTGTGGCTCCTGATGCCAGCTTCCTGCTAACGCAGACCCTGGCAAACAGCTGGTGATGGCTCAAGTAATTAGGTTCCTGACTTCCACGAGGGGAAACCTGGATTGAGTTCCCGGCCCTTGCCTCTGGCCTGGCCTAGCCCGATCCCTGCTGTGGCGGGCATGAAGGGAGAGCTCTGTCTCCATCTCTGCCTTACAAATTTAAAAATATGCATATATACAAATGTACACACATAAATAAAACAGTCTGGCATCAATTCCCAGGCCCCAGCTGCACCCTCCTCTCTGAGCCGGGAGACTGCCACAGTGTGGACCATGAAGAGGCTGTCACCAGTCCGAGAGAGAGAGAGAGAAGCTGAGAACCAGCAATTGGAAATTTTTATAGTGCTAGGAAAGACTAATTTTAAGTCTCAAGTATGAACAATTAAAAAAAATAAAGGGTGTATTTTTTTCATATTTCTAGCTATTGAGTTTCACTGCGTTTTACAAGGTATTAATCTGCCACAAAGTCTGAAACAACAAACAAGCAAACAAGAACTTGGTTTCCATGGGGAAGCCCTATGTGGCAACAGCAGCTCTCTGCAGCGGGAGAAGCCCTCCGGGGCTGGCCCAGGCCGTCCACCCCAGCTCCTCACAACTTTCACCAAGTGCTTTCCCCCCACCAGTCACATGGCCTCGCTTCTCAGGACACGTCTGCACGTCCACCCTGCATGGGAGCTTCTCCAGCCTGTCCTGTGACACCCCCTGGGTCCCATCCTCCCACCCCTCACCCCTTCCCCTGTACTATCCGTTCACCACACACCTGCTCTCACCCTAACCAGTCCAGGTGTTCAGAGCAAGGGCTATGCCTTCTTAGCCTGTTCAAGGTCAGTCTGTTACATGGTAGGTCAATAGTAAATACCTGTTGATTAAAATCAGCAAGATTAAAACATCTAGGGGCAGAGTCGTAGCCCACTGGGTGATGCCACCACTTGGGGTGCCTGGGATCAAATCCCGCCTCCGCTTCCAATTCTAGCTTGGGCAGCAGATCACGGCCCAAGTATGGGTTCCTGCCACTCCCATGAAAGACAGGTGGAGTTCCTGCTGCCTGGCTTTGGCTTTGCCCAGCCCAGGCTATTAAGGGCCTCTGGGGAGTGAACCAGCAGATGGGTCTCAGCCTCTCTCTCTCTCACGTATATAAATAAATA